AAGGCAATAGCATCTTCACCTGCATTTAGAGGCTAATTATTTGTAGCTTAGTACACTATGTCTCTTTAATCTTAGTATTCAGATGGTTAAGTGTCTTTAGTTTCTTAAGAGTGGACTTTAGAGATCTGGACATGCAGTGTGAAAAAAAGAAAAATGAAATCAAGAATATCATGACCATACAGATTCAGAGAACAAACATATAGTTTGGAGTGAAAATTTGTTCATGCTAATTGTGAAATGAATCAAATTCTGTTGATTTTGGATAAGAGACTCATCTAAACCGTTTATCTAAGATGAGGGATTAATAGATTGATCCTCCTTCAAATTGATACCTGAGAGGTTTGCCTACAGTTAGAACATAGATGGCTGGGAAAGAAGCATGGTTCCTTCAAATAACCAAGATTCTCCCTTTGCTTGTCTGAACTTCAAATGGATCAGTGGCTATCTAATAGTGATTTTCAAAGGAGGGAAAATGATCTCTATATGGTATGATGGCATGCATCAAGAGAGACATCGAGCTACCAGTATTTCTCTCCTTTTGGTTGGGTTGCCTAAAATATACAGTATTGAAAGAGGCTGACAAAGATCATTCCCCTCCCCTTCAAAAATGCATAAGCAAGTGACCCTTCTGTAACCTAGCATTTTATAGCACAAAATCAGAGAACTTAAATATGTTACCATTGTATATACTGGGGGAATCCTGAAAGAAAAGACGATGAGGGACTCCATGGATTTCTTGTTAAATAGCCCGTGATTCACATAAAAACCAACTACCGGTGTCTTTCTTAGAGCTAATTTAGTGGTTCAATTTTAGATTTATCTTCCACAACTGCACTTCATGCAGACCCGTAAAATCTTCTTACATTTTCTCTCCTACCCTTCTCTCTCTTTCCTTTTTTTTCTCCATGTCTGTGCCTGTGTTCCCTTTGTTACTATCTAGCATCCAAATCTATGCAATAACAAATTCCTTCCAATGCTGAAGTAATCTATGAATTCAATTGTATATCCACAATGAACCACACATACTCCATTCTGATAGACCTTATTTGGAGCTTTCTACATGGGACTGTTAATTGATGTACCAATTGAAGGTATTGTTTTAATCATTAGATCTAACTTACACGGTAATATCTTAATTGTTAATAGTAGGTTCATGGAATTTATTACAATTTTGTGTGATGATAAACTCTCTTACAAACAGATTATGGTTAATCCACTTTCTTTATGTTCATCTGATTGTTTGGTAATTGGAGTTATGCCGGGGAATTTTCCTGCAATTGATTGTTAGGGTTTGGCCTAAGTGCTTGTGTGAGATTTGTGTCTAGTTTCTGGCCATAAGCTACTATAAGAAAATCAAGCTCTTCTGATGATACTGCCCCTTTGGAAGTTAGTTCTGGGAGAACTGAGAGAGAACATCATACAGTCTTATACAGGAATTATTGTATTGGAAATATTAGCACGTGAAGCAAAATTCTGTAGAAGATTACAAGGTTAAAGAGTTCTTGGTAAATATATTGTGCATTCTCCTAACAGGAACATAGCCTAAATTTATATCTACTTAAGCAGATGCTCAGATAGAATCTGGCTCATATACTTTGGTAGTGGAAGCTTACACAGAATAAGATTAGATGTTGTAACTATTCCTACACTGACATAATTAGAATGTGTGTCCTTGATGACTGGAATAACATGCTCCTTAGCTTTGTTTTCTTATTAATGAGATTCATGAAAGTGTAATTGCTTTGGGAAATTTCCTGCTCGATCAACTCTTAAGAAATTTCTTACAAACATATTGTTTACTATAAATTAAAAAAACTCTTAAACTGCAATAGTATCATCAACTGAAGATTATGCATATGTATCTAAGTTTTATACGAGTGGAGAAAAATTGTTAGGATTGTGTTAATTTCAAGCACACAAGTACTTTTGTCGTCCTACATGCCAAGTGTATAGTTTTGATAAATCATAATGCTCTTCAAATTAGCAAGGTTGGCTTGGACATTCCTATTCAAGCACCACACTTGTTTTCTGGTTTGGCGATTATAAGATCTTTCAGTCTATTTAGCTTTAGATATCTCTAAAAGTTCACATGCTCTATGTAAAACATGTGATAGTGATGGAATGTGCATTACAATATGATTTATATGATTAACTAGCAGAGGTCCTCGAAGAATGCACTGTGTCATGGACTCGATACCTGCTTCTGCGATTGAACCTGGAGGAATGGCTCCGACTCAAACAGAATTCTTGCATAACAGCCTCGATTCTTTTCCATCAGTTCCATTCTTCAGATCCAAGTCATACCGCACGGGAAGTTTGTCAGGATCAGTATCTGGCTTGAAAGAGGAAATGTTGGTTTTAAAAAACAAAGCTCCAAGGTGGCATGAACAGCTTCAGTGCTGGTGTTTGAATTTCAGGGGACGTGTAACTGTTGCATCAGTAAAGAACTTCCAGCTGGTGGCCTCTGAAGAGAATGGGTCATCTAACCAGGAGGAGGAGAAGGTAATTCTCCAGTTTGGCAAGGTGGGGAAGGATTTGTTCACCATGGACTACTGCTATCCAATATCAGCATTTCAGGCATTTGCTATCTGCCTCAGCAGCTTTGACACTAAGATAGCTTGTGAATAAGACCAGGTGCAACCATATTTTCTTTTGACCTATTCTCTAACTTTGCTGCAGTGACTAAATTTTGATATAATGATTGTTTAAAGCTGATCATGAATAAACTCAACCGTGAGGCTTAGGCAATCAAGAAGAATATCAAGATGTTATTCTAGTTAAGGCATTCTACCATAAGCCAAGTTTGATCATTAGTGTTTGTCTACTAGTTGAAGTAACTAATAATTAAGGGAAAACCCTAATTTAATTACTTTTGATGATTACATGGAGTTGCTTCTGCTCACTGGAGTTGATATTTACCAAACCTTGTCTTAGTTATACATAATGGAACATTACACTGCACATTTATCAAAATTTTGCTTTAAATAATTTCAGTGGCTGGAAACTGCTGTTTTCTTGGTTTTCTTAAGTGATGGGCATTTGAATAAAGCTTTGGAGAATGTAACAAATATTGGTGTAAATTTTAGGAGGGATGGTAGGAAAAGCAATTTGATTGATACAACCGGTCAACTAATAGTCTCTTGCCTGGCGTGCAAAACTATTCCAGCAGTGTGCTCAGAGCGTGATTGTGATCTCGACTGGTTTGTGTGCCATTTCAACACTCTGCCTTCAGTTTTATCGCACATTTGTGTATTTGCTTTTAAAATGCAATGAATGATGCTACAGAATGCATTATGAATTTGGTTTGCTTGCATCGAGCAGTTGTCTGTTGTCTTAGTAGGTTGGCGTAAAAGCTATTCTGCGTGTAAATTTTAAGCGTTCCTTCTTATTGCAGAAACTGATAATAATTTGTTAGATTGGCATATCTGAACTGTAAAGCGGCAATCAAATATCATTTTCACTTGTGAGAACTGAGATAATTTGCAGTGTCCAGGCTCTGCTACAGCTGGTAGTTTCTTGAAGCCATAGGCATTTCCTACATCAACAAGGGAAGGAGACTACCTACATTTTGGCATAAGGATTTTCTTAGAGGTTTGTGAGTTTGTTCGTTTCATTTATATGTTTACTTTTGATGGTAAAGACTTTATATAGATCTCAAGGTCATTATGATTTGTTATTGTTGTTGTCATAATTATTGTGTAGGAAAATAAAGCCTTTCTTTAAATTTTTATTTATGCAATTACATCTAGAGACTTAGGCTACCAGATGGGATAAGATCATAATTTATATTTGACACTATTCATTCATTTGCAAATGACACATCTCTCAACTCAACACGTGATTTGACTTCAAGATCTTTTAGTTTTGAGATCAACTTAAATTGTCATTGTACTTTCATCTCAGATGTGCACCTGAAAACGATTGAAGACACGAGTTCTTCCATCACGGTCAGTACTGAACAATATTGGGGAGAAGCGTTACGGGATAGTGGTAGAGGGGCAAATACACAATTTACAGAACTCACAAAGGATAGATGTGTAAAAGCTCCATAAAAGTCATACCAGTCAATCAAGCAATCACATAAATGCATGAGCACAATTCTCTCGTATCAACCTTTCTTCAAGTCTTTCTAATTGCTAGGTCAACACAAAGTATACTAGTCAACCAATCTCATGTATAAGCTCAGTTCTGTATCCAGCTTCTTATTTCCCATCAAGTGTTTAATGCTACCCAATTGGTAGGTCAAAAAGTGTTGCGGTCCACATGAAATAGGAGACAAATACCTATCCAATCTAATCTACCTTAAGTTATTTTCCAACAATAACAACAAGACCACAAAATTCTAACTATTTAGGGCCAACTAAGTCATTTAACTCCTCAAAAAGTCATTACTTCTTACCAAAATAATCTATAATTAGAATCGAAATCTAAACTAGAGTTGATTGATTAAAATTGGAATTACATTAAAACAGCTAATCCCATTAACAGTACTGGTTCATGAATTCAGGAACTGGAATCAAAATCCCACACACCAATTGGGTTGTGCGTTATTATTGATATTAAAGCAAGTGGCTAGTCTCTGGATCGTGAACGCACATGTCAAAGCATTAGAATTCAAGGCTCCATGCCTAGTGCTCGTTAAACATTGAACAGTCAAAGACTACAACATTGAGTAATACTAACCTAAAAGAGCGGTGATGGGGTCATCCTTCATTTATTTTAGATCAGGATTCAGTCAACTTCCAAGTAGGCGCAGCCCACGTTTTCACAACGTTAACAACGCATCTTGCCACTGTAGATAGCATGCAGCAGTTAGTGCTGCGGGCCTTGACTGGCGTTTGGCCTTGTCAAGTCCACAGACTAAGATAAAGAAATCAAGAAATAAGCAAGATGATGGCGATATTCTAACGACTCAATCATAGAGTATTGGTAAAGCTGGAAAGCTACCACTTGTGTTCCTGACTGTATAATTCTTGGAACCTCACCTTGGTTCTTCTTACCTCTCTCTCTCTCTCTCTCTCTCTCTGCCTTCTCCTATGGGGAAAATTTGCTGTGGAGCAGCAGATGATGATGATGGAAATGGTGGGATAGACATGATGGGCTTCCTTGTTGCAGTCATCATTGCGTTAGTGCTGATACTCATCTGCAGCCAACCACCCCGTCGACGTGCGATGGTCACCGTTTGCCCCAGTCGCTGCTGCTGAGGGATTGCAGCAGCCTTCAACCTTGATGTTCCAAGTATGTTGTGTGATGTTTCGATCTGCTGTGTCACATAGAGATCATTCAACATAACTGTTACTATTATATTTGATATCGTAATCGTATCCATGACTTTGGCAGATCTTTCAGTAGTAGCTGCAGATAAGATGATAAACCAAGAAACCATCTTTAGTTGTCTGATAATTTTATTTATAGAAATCTTATATGAATGATAAACCTCATGTTCATCAAATTAAGAAAATGATCATTTCTATTTTGCTAAGCAGAGTTTGATTGGATAGAATTTCCAACGAGAATCATGTTAATACTTAATGCTACTCAGAGATCAGAAAAAACAAGAAAACGAGAGAGCTGCTACATACCAATTAAGAGAATGACTTTGCAATCTTTGGGACTCGATTAGCAAGTAGAAACCAAAATTGGAGGACCATTGTTGAAGCATGCATTAAGTTCCCTGCATCTGTATCCCAAGCCCAATCAGTTGACTTTCGTGCCTTTCTTTTTTCCTTTCTCTTCCTTGAAGAATCAGCTGCTCCCTGCTCCTGTCTGCTTGTTCTTACATTTTTTTTCTGCTGCAGTCCTCTTCAACCAGTGGTGCGGAAGATCTTAATTCTCTACATGTCATATCATTCTCTATCTTTTCTTCTTTTTATCTGCATTTCTTCGACTTCATAAGGGCGGGCCTTGGTACAACGATGAGGTTATGCCCTTACGGCCCGAAAGACAAGCCTCTTTAAACATTTAAAGGGAAGGCTGCATACGTTGATCCTCGTAGAACCCACATTGGCGGGAGCCTCATGCACTGGATGCCCCTTTATTTCCTTTGCTTCATCTACAGTGATTTCATCAGAAATCTGCAGATCACTTGTCTCTACCTCGGCCACTTCTTTGTTCTTTTTTCTTCTCTTTCTATCTTCATCACCACCCTCTTTAATAATGCCTTTGCAGCAAATGCAGATTCTGCTTCCTCAGCAATCCTCTTACTGGAAAGATAATCCTCCCTGTCCATCAGCTGACTACCCTGTGGCTTCTTCAATCTGTTGACCAAGAACCACATCAGTTTAAATAAGTAGACAGACAAAAAGCAATTACTGCATCAACTGGAAGTCAACTCTTAATCTGTCTGAGGAATGTGTGGCAGAAAGATGGTGGAGAGGAAAGCTTAGTCGTGGGAAAAGACCTTGGCATAAAAGGCAAAATATCCTGCCACAAGTTCCCATTATTCTTGACATCTCAAATTAAACCAAAATGTCAAAGCAGAAAGCTGATATATGGGATTATAAATATAGTTCTATCTGAGGAATTTGTTCTTCCTTGTTTTATCAAGCACTTGAACTTGAGAGGTTCTTATGATGCTTCTCTATGAAGTAACATTTATCAGTAAGTACAAAAACAGGAACTCAATACAAGGTTTGAAACAAATAGGGAGTAAAGCTTCCAAAGAGTCACCAATAGTAAGATCAAATTCATACCTTTGCAGGAGTAACGAGAGAACCTGCACCTTTCCATCTATCATAAGCCTCAATTTTGGCATGCCTTTTGAAAATATCGAATAGTCCATTTTGCTCTTGGTTTTCCTTTTGATTCTTTATATTTGTTTCTCCATAACTAAGGCCATAGAAACATCAAACTTGTATGACAGAAAAGAATAGTCAATATTCCAGAAGTGACAGGATAACTCATCTATTTGATAGACATTTGGTGAAGAGTACTAAGTGCCAGTGTGCAATTTGGCCTTCAAAGTTTTTCTTTGAGATCAGAACCAAAAGTGTTGTTCTCATGTCGCAGTGCCAGATGTGGAGACATCTCATTGATCTTCTCCGCATAATCTCAACCATTTTAGCAAATCAAGTTCAATTAGACTTTGAATGTAACGAAAAATAAAGTTAAGTACAACTGATGCAGGCCTTCTCTTGGCAACCAAAAAATTCAATCCAGCCACCGACCAAGACAAAAACAACAAATAATTCCAAGTCAAGAATTATTAACATACGAATGACCATAAAGAACACACATTAATTTCACTTAACCAGAAAATAGCATAATGTAGGACAAACATTAAAATGTCAAAATGCCAAAAAATTATATAAAAGAAGAGATTAAAAACAGAGATTTGTTACTATAAGTTTAGAACAAATCACATCAATAGTTATAGAGAATTTCTCGGAATTGTGAAGTAGATAATTAATGCATCAATTCCTGCATGACAATGACACCATACTCTATATAAAGCTCATCGGCCAGATTTTGTACGCACTTTTTTTTACAGTTCATAACATTAGTTGAAGTTTAATAGTCATCCTCTATGTTCACAGCAAGTCTCTGTCTCTGTCTGTCTGTCTCTCTCTCCCACCCTCCCCTTGTTATTTGTCATTATCTCATGATGGTGGTACACTTGACGACACAATTCCCGCACCTAACATGTTGAAGTTACATTCCATCCAACCCATCAACAAGCACAAGCAAACATACCACAGAGAAGCGAAGGGAAGGAAAAAAAGAAGAGGTAAGCTGAGACAGAATAATGGCAAAACATACGGTTATATCTGTGAAATAAAGGATATATTAAATGTTGAACTAGCTATTCAATTGCATTTGTCAAATATCATTATTGTTACAAGGTTTGCCATCCTTCATCAGTACAACTACAAGTATATCAGAGAAGGATAGTACATCAGATCAGAAAAAAGGCGAACAAATAGTAGCCCTTAACCTCTAAGAAAATAAATGTCATTATACAAAAAGGAGGTGTCATGAGATTTGTGAGTAAAAAAAAATTTCATAAGCATTTCCTTCAACCAAAGTTTTTACTATTTCTTTATGTTAATTACACTTCACCCACATGATGAAATTAGAGAGGCATTGATAGTACAAAAGAGTTGAAGCACTCTCTTTGAAATACAAGTGGATACATTTTGAGTCTTTTGTATTACATATATAATAGTTTCTAGTTGCATTGCCTCATCCCAAACCCTAGTTTACAAAGTAGAATTCTATTTGTTATAATCCTGAGGTAGGGGAAGGCAGTTTCAGATTGGATATCCTTCAAGATTATATGATCTAGATTGTTGAATCATTAGAATCTGAAAACATTAAATTTAAGGGTATTAGCGATACCAAAGATAAAAGGTTGAAAGGTTAAGACACACAAGGCCAAATATCAAATAAACATAGTTAGAAACATATATACAACACCTTAGAATCATCATCCTGATTTTAAGTCCTAATTTGCAAACCTTTGGTATTCCTAATCGCCTATCGTCATGTCCCATGACACATTTTTAATGTCTTAATCTCATCAACATTATTCAATTTTATTGATACAAACCAAGACAAGCAAAATCCATATCAGAATTTCCTACTCTATTCTGTGATTCATTATGAAAAGCATTAACAAAAAAGATACCCGCTAAGACCTGATCGGAACTCATGCGGTCATTCCATTTAAACCTTTTGATGCAAAAAAAGGGGACAAAAAATCCATGAACTATAAAACGAAATATACCATGGAAAAGAAGTACGATCACATATGTAAACGCGACAAAAAAATATTGAACTTGGGAGTTCCTGAACATAAGAGCCACAATAAGCTACATATGATAAGTGCAATACCTGCATAGAAAAATCAGGTTGATCACCTTTGAGGCTAACTGACTTCTTAAACTCCTGTCATAGATCCTGAAAACAGGAATTACAGACACTGTGCAAGAAATCAAAAACCAATCCATAGCAAATCATCAGAGCGATTCAAAGAGTAAGTTGACTGTTCCATCACGACCAGAGCAAAGAATGGGTCTCAACCATGTTAACTATGTCGAGCTTTCCTTAGGATTTCAAGCAGCTACAACACATATAACATGCTCAACGTCACGCTCTTAATAACCCAATAAAAAGTAAAACGAAAGGCCGGTCCGGTCCCTCACAGCAACAAATGGAGCAACAAACGCCTAAAAGCAATCCCAAAAGGGGTTCTGCAACAAGGTCCGACGGTGAAGCCTTTCGATCTGAGAGTGAAACAGTCCGGAAGGATCTGGTTCAAGCTCGAAACAATCGAGGATTAGGGTTTCAAGGATGCAGCGTTTGTTGCCCGCTCGCCCGATCGCCCGATCGCCCGATCGCAGCAGCAACGATGGAGGTACCGAAGAGAACAAGCAGTTACTTGTGAGGTTTTCGAAGGGGTTATAAATCAACGAGTGGGGGGCTCCCTCGGGCGACCGGACAGTAGGATCCAACCGTTGATACATGTGCAAAAGAAATCTCGACCGTAGGTTCCTTTCCATGATGAACGATTCGATCATAGTTTCATTTATTCCAGTTGGTATTTTGAAGACATCGCACTTATATCTACTAAGCAGGTCATTAAAACGTCAATTATACGCTAACAAAGGAAACCGGTCTCGGCCCAATGGGCCGTTCAACGTACCAAAATATCATCTCACGTACTGTGGAGAGATTTGGAGGTCATGGTGATGCTTCCACGCAGGCGACGACAAATCCCGAGAGGAAGCCCTTTGAGATCCCCTCTTTTCTCTACATCCGCTCTTCCCCCTTTCTTTGCTGTGTCTTTCGAGCGATTCGAGGATTCCGTTGCCGGAAAACGAACTCGGTCGGGCGAAGGTAACCCTCCCCGCGCACTGCTCTCAGTTTGAGATAGTACGAGTAGAGCAATACATGCGAACGGTACGTGGGAATTTCTCGTGCTTATACTCGAGTGGTATCTCGCTATTTGGATGATGTTTCTGGTAGGCAATGGATCGGTCGCGTTTGCTGGCGGTATTGGTTTTGGTCTGCGTGATGTCGGCTTGTCGAGGGAGAGGTAATCGCTTTGTCTTGACCTAATTGACTAGGTGTTATTTGCTGAGTGGGTCTACAGGGAGGAAGAGTGATTGTTTTTTATGAGACACCGTATTGCATTATTCGACTTATGATGGAATCGTCTGAGGAGAAGTGGCGAGGGGAACGTATTATGTTGGTGGAACTGAATAGATGAACTGACATTTTCCTATAGTGCTAAAACAATAACTAAAATATGAAAAATGAAATAAAAAAAATCTCCGCCATAATCAAGATTCTCCAATTAAGATGCCTTATCCTGTATCGCTAAAAAAAAAAATTGACAAAAAAATTTCAAAATTATTGCTTGCTTAAATGTGTTATATGATTTAATTAGTTTCTTATAAGTATAAAAAGGTATTTACTATTTTGAAAGGTACCTTTCTTAGTATTTCTTTTTTCTTACTAATAAATTTATCTTGTAATATAAGCTACCTCTGACCTTGACAATAACTGATTGTGTTATGTTGTTCTTATTGGCTTCTGGTGATATTTTTTCAGTCAGACAGTCATATATATATATATATATATATATATATTATAATAATAATAATAATAATAATAATAATAATAATAATAATAATAATAATAATAATTTTATGTCTATCTATTCTTAGATAATTGAAGATCAATGATCATCTATTTGAAGATATCATGGTTGCATGCTTTGATTTGATTAGTTCATTTGGCACCTCTTTATGACGTTAATTTTTCTACAAAACAGAAGCACTAGTGGTCACCAAATTTATTATTAATGCCATCGACACCAGGTCATATCTCTTTTTTAACTTAACCTGTCACTCAATACTCATACTGTTGCATATTAATGATGAGATTCAATAGCGATGGGTTTTCTGGACTCATTGATCTACAGTTAAAGGATTACATATTTGAATAGTTTTTAAGTAAAACTTTCATTTATGTCTAATTTTTTATTCTAGGCATGTGAATCAGATTTTGCAGATGGTCTAGTTTGTAGGTGTACAATTCAAAGTTTGCAATACCAAATGATGTAGGACCATGCAAGACTGCATGGTGTACCATCATTATATGAAATTACAAACCTTCATAAAATTCTTTATTAATTGAGGCCCAAAGTGGTTGGATGATTTTCCCAAAATGGAATAGAGTAGTGTTGTATGTTTGTCAAATTAAAGTTACAAACAAGCAAAGGTTTTAGTTTTGATTGGCTCAGCATGGTTCAGCCAGTATTTATCAGTCTGATCGTCAACCTGGATGCAGACCGCTTAAAATCACACAGTCCATTTTGTTATTTAACACTGTTTGCTTTTTTTTTTCTCTCTTTTGAATGCCCCATTGCCAATGTGCTAGGGCTCACAACTCCTTGCGAGCATCTCCTATTAATCACCCGTCATGCGGGCACGCCTGCTTCGCATCAGCGACCTCATGTCTGCTTCATCTCCTCCTCCTTCCTCTTCTTCATTCTTCTTTTACTTCTTTCTCCCCTCCAAATCATTACCATCATATGTTCCAAGTATATGCTGGAATGGACCGGACCTGTACCAGTATAGCTATGGACTGGCTCAGGTCCAATGCCTGAAATTGGAAACCTTGCAAACAAGTATGAAATTTCTGAGGCTACTTATTTGGCTTGTTTAGCTAGATTTGATATTGTATTTTAGAGTTTTTGATACCTTACTGTGAAATGTTTTGCTTAAAGTTGTCTCTAGGGATTTTGGGTGCATTTGTTGATACAAAATAACGCAGGTTTAAAAAGTTTAGATTGTGAGAGCACCTAGAAAATATTAAATATCTAGGTTTAGGTTGTTAAGGCCCTAAATAGATATAAGACAACTAGTAAAAAGATATTGCATGTCTACTCAGATTCAGTTATGTGCTAGAGACATGCACTGTCTAGTGTTTCAAGAGAATGACATAAATGGCAAGCTTATAAGTCAGTGCTTAGTTTATTTCTCAGTTAATTAATTATGATTGTAAATTTAAATTTACATATAGATAATTGCATATACCATGGAAGGAATTGGAGTATGCCAAGACCGTGTTAGATGTGTATGGCCTTGGGTAGACCCTACTCTGGTTTAGTTTGCTGGATAAACTTGCTTCCTTTTTCTTTTTTTTGACACACTATTTCTTGTTTGCTTTCTTCTTGTCTCATGAATCTAAGCTGATGAGTCTCGATGTTTGTCATTTGAGAAGGCAAATTGTTGACATCAAGATATTTTGGTGATGGTGGCAAATATAAAGATAACCTATGGATTTTTTTTAATAAGTCATGAATTTACTATTCTTATTATTATGAAACTGGAGTGTTCCAGTGATGGTTTGTAAACTTCGTTGGATTTTCTGCTTTCTGTCTTTGCTTTGTGATTACTTTCTTATTTACTTCCATGTTATCGTTTTTCTAAATACCTTGATTCTTCAATTTTCATACGTGCTTGGCTCCTTAGTGCAAGCAATCTTTTTTTCTAGAACTGCATTTTACCTACTTAGGCTTCCATAAGTGGTTAAATTCACTGCTTAATAGCTGCTTCTTCTCTTATATCCAATATTATACATGAGAACAAGGTTAGATGGGGTACTTATTCTTTGACATTCAGATTCTCTTCGTCCAATCTGCATTAGATTTACAGCTGAAGCACCAATGACCGTTTTTCTGTCAAGCTAAATCTTTAAAATTAGAAGTTCACTATTAACCTGGTGCTGTTACACTTGAGATGCATTTACTTGTTGTAACACAAATTACTGAATATTATATTTTTGTATACTGTTTGTCCTTCTTTTTGAGTGATGTAACATTTTGCATGTCAGTTACTGCAGCTGAGACATCTTTTTGACTGTTGTTTTTTTGTGATTACAGAACTTAGGATTGGTAGCGAGGACAATAGTCATGTGTATAACCATACTCTTGCCAAGATACTTGTTGAATATGCGTCTGCTGTAAGTTTGTTCAACAATACTTCTTTAATGAGTAATATTGCTATTTGTGATAAATAATACTTGTTAGCTTAGAAGATCATCGTGGTCCGATGGCTTGGCCATAAAGAACTAAAGTTTTGGGTCATGCTGTTGATGTGGCTTTTCTTGTTTAACTTGAGTTGTTCATTATCTTGTTCGGTGAAGTTTTTTATTTCCAATTTTGTTGATGTTATGTTTAATCACATTTTTCTCATGCCCTTTTTGACCTTCAGATGTAAATGATTCCTGCAGGTGTCTATGTCAGATCTAACTGCATTATTTAGCTGGACTTGCTCTAGATGTACCGATTTGACAGAGGTTTGTAATTCGTTTTTTTCTTTACCTTGTTTTATTTGTTTAATTGGATTAGGTATGCATCGATAGCACGAAAAGGCAGCATTTGAAGTTTTTATATGATTTTTACATGGGTAGTTGTAGAAACTAAGGTGTATTCAAACAGGGTTTTGAGGTCGTAGAGCTGATTGTTGATGTTAAGAACTGTTTACAGGTGCGTTCTAATTTTTGTTTCTGTTACTCCAGTGCATAGATAATCTCTTTGTTTCATGTGTCTAATTATACATATAACTGAATTATGTACACAGTCATTTGTTGGTGTTGCTCATGATCTTAATGCTATTGTAGTCGCATTCAGAGGAACTCAAGAGAACAGGTACTAATGTTGCTATCATAATTGCAAGATGGTTTAGACCAAAAATGGATGAATTTGTTAGGTACCTCTGTAAGTTGGCATGCTTGTTATAGAATTGATACAAACTCTGGTAAGACATATGTAGAGTGACTTTCTAGTTATGTATACCTAGTTAAGGATCTCCACTGTTATTTCTGTTTTCTTTATCTGATTGTAGAAAAATTATACTGCTACTCTTGAATACGGAAATGATCTTGCTCTAAGATACATCATGAGGCAAGTGCCAAAATTGATAAAGGCCTATAATCGTGAGATGCGCTATGTTTTTTAATATCTTAATTAAATCATTAAACTGTAATATGGACAAAGCTTAGATGGAGAATCTTTTTGGTTTTCTTGTCCAAATTCCTGATATTTGGTTTTTCATATACTAGTAATGTGTATCATGTTTCAGAGATTTTTTTTATGGTTATTGATGAGAATAGAGTAGTGTGGTAGTGCAAAAGCACACTAATTTTATATGTCCTCTATCATCAGTCTAGGACAACATGCTAATAATGCAAAGAGATAACTAATTAAATGAAAACTAAAGTGAAAAAGCAAGGGGGTAGAAACATGGATTGGAAGAAGATGACTAGCATTTGGAGGAAGCACCTGTCACAGTGAGTAAAATTACAAGACCATAAGACCTATAGAAACATTATTTCTTCATTTTATAATTCATGATGTTAATTTAATACATGTATAAGCCTTGTAAATCTTTGCTTATACTGGTAAAGTATGGTTCTGAATACCGTACCATACTAGTATCTAGATCATTTGTTGGTACGGTACATACTAAGCTATACCAAGCATACCGACACATGATACAGTAAGATGTATTGATGTACCGCCTATATCGGTCCTCTATGTGTCTGGTGCGTACTGCTCGTACCGAGCGGTATGGTACAGTATTGCAAACCATGAGGTAAAGTATTCAACTACTACTTAAATTGGGTAGGATAAGGACTTTATTTGATCTTCTAACAGTTTAAATTCATCCAAATTTCTAAAGCTAATATCTTATTTTATTATTAAATATAAAGCATTTGATAATATAGAATTCATCCTAACAAACCCAACATTCAGTAATAAATAAAAACATAAAAAAAATTAAACACAAACAAACTAAAAACATAACTTCCCCTAGGTTGGGATGCATTAGTTATTGATAGTTACCTATTGTAACTTTTTGAGACTATCTATTGATAATATAGAACTTATCCTAACAAATCCAACATCCACTAATCCAAACACACAAACTAAACACTTGAGTTCTCCTAGGTTGGGATCCATTAGTTTTTTATAGTTATCTATTGAAACTTTTAGAGACTATCTGAGCATTGTTGAAAGGTAATTGAGTTTGTGTTATTTTCCTTCTCTGTTCCTTGAGTTTTAATAGAATTGCTCTTTTTTGATAGTCTTCGTAATTGGATTCAAGACCTCTTCTGGAAGCAGCTAGATCTGAACTACCCAGACATGCCTGGTGCCATGGTAGGTAACGCTAGTTAAGAATTTGGAAGTGTCTACTTGGAAATGCACACTGATTTTTCTTTATACTCTTCCTTATGTGACTAAAGGTGCACCATGGTTTTTATTCTGCTTATCATAATACAACACTACGCCCTGGGATCATTAGTGCTGTTCAAAAGGCTAGGGAGTTATATGGAGACATTCCCGTCATGGTTACAGGGCATTCAATGGGAGGGGCTATGGCTTCCTTTTGTGCACTTGATCTTACTGTAAGTATCACATCATTACTTTTCTTTTATGATTTTACATGCAAGTTCTTTTATGGCATACTTCTTTTGGATTTAGACTATTCTTATATTCAATTCTAATGTGGATATAGGTTGTTCTATATTCAGTACTAGATTTGCTCCTATGTGAATTGCTTTTAGATTTCATAAGCATACGTGGTCTTCCATTGTTTCTTAGGATTTCATTTTACATGGTTTTTCATCTTTGTAGAATGATGAAACTTGATTGTAGAGATGTGATCTTCAATCAAATCAAATTTCGATTTCATCCATCTTTTTCTTCATTACCTTTATTTTTCTTTTTCTTCTGCTCGAGTAATCTAGGAAAGAAAAATAGAAACACAGGAGATGTTGCCGTGTGACAACTTATAATTTTTTCAAAAGCTCCATCTGAAATACTAAATCTATTTTAAAGAAAAAAAATTTCAGATCGAGTTTGAAATATGTCAGTTATAGTTGAATGCAAGTTCATCATCAATCCAAACAAATTTGGGTTGATGCTTAATCATTATTTTTTCCATGTCAAGTGTAGAATCAGAAAGGGTCTCTTTTCAATCATATGGTCCTCATCAAGTGCCATCACATCTGAGTAGAAAGTCAAGTGGTTAACATCCCATGATGAAAATTCCATTGTTCACCGCCTCCGGTTTCTTAGTCCCACTCATGCATGGCTATTGGGAAAGAAACGATGAAAAAAGAGAGAAAAGAAAGAAGGGAAAAATGAAACAAAACAAAGGAAAATAAAGAAAGACAAAAAAGAAAGAAAAAGAATGCATAAACCATGGTTTTAGGTTTTTGGTACTGGACCCATACCAGTTCTTGGCTGGACTGATATGGGTCCAGTATGCACCAACCACACCATTACACGGTTTATCTCAGCAGGGGTCTGATACCCCCCTTTTTAAGGGTTTTAGATGTCTGAAAACCATAAGAACTCTATTTTATTGATATCTCATAGATTCATACCTAATAAAGTCAACATTCATATAATTTAACTGGTTCAAATCTACAAAATAACATATACATTGAAACAAGTAACATATAGGAATCAATAATGGAATCTAAGAATACATTGTAATATGGAAATAAGTTAAAGAGTCATAGAATCAATTGTGCATAATAAATGATTGTACATAAACTTAGTCCTACCACCAAAATGAATGTCATGGTCCCATGGTGAGGGATCAGGGTCCTCGATGTAATAATATTGAAGATCAATGCGGTACAACTCTGTGATCCAAATATGAAACGGCTTCCATGACATCTTTTACTAGCATATACTGTGCTACTGATGTAGCAGTCATTTTCATCATCATGAATCAGCCATGGTGGGAGGCTCCTCATGCAAGGACTGTGATAAATATAACTGTAGAAGACGTAGTACACTGGAGCTATGGTTCTCAACAGTATATTGTTGTTATGTTCTGTAAGATGTATAGAACTTCGAAAATTATGATTAACTATCATCATGCATCAGTTCGCCAGAAGATTCAAGATAATAGGAATGCTAGGAATACAAGGAACTACTGTTTGACTAAGTATCATGTAAGCTCCTTTTCCTTGTTACAATAACTGGATGCATGGGCCTATTATGTGTTATTATGAGCCTTAAAGGGGAACAAGAGCTTAAAAGAGCCTCTTTTTAGCTGTATAGAACTTTAAAGGGAACAAGAAGGGGAACATGCCGAGGATGGGCCTGTTCTGCGAGCAGATTGCCCATTGGGGCAGTCCACATCACAGTTCACTGACAAACTGATACGTATCATTCGTTACGTATATAGTCAGCTTAAAATCATCTCATTCGGTATGTATGTAGAACCTTGCTCTAAACAATATTTCTATTACTAGAACATCATCTAACTGGAATTGTCTTTGGTTCAATACCATTGAGAATCTGGATCGTGGTCATCTTCCTAAAATGAAAAATCTCCTAAGTGTGGGCCTCAATTCTTCATTTTCAGACATATCCCATGTGTGCATCTGGGATCAAAATTTTATTTTAGAAAAATCCATTAAGTGTGGGATCAATTTCTTCAAATTTGAAAATCTTCCAAGTTTGGAGCTAAATTCCCCATATTCCCAAGTTTGCGGCCAAAATTCTTATTCTTGTAAATCTCTTTATTCTAGGGTTAAATTCGTCATTCTTGGAAAACTCTCATACTTTTTGTTAGATTATCCAATTTTGAAAATATCTCATTGTTGGAGCTGACTAACCCTTTTTTTTTTAATCTTCAAAGTTTGGGGTTAAATTCCCTAATTGCAAAATCTGTCAAATGTGAGGTTAATTTCCCTATTATTGAAAATATTTAAGTTTGAGATCAAATTATTATTCTTAAAATTCTTTCAAGTTTGTCGTCAAATTCCTCATTCTTAAAAATCTCCCATGTGAGTTGTCAAACTTATCATTCTCGAAAATATCTCAAGTCTGAAGCTAAATTTTTGGTACTTGAAATTCTCTCAAGTATGGGGCTAAATTCTCCATTCATTAAAATCTTCCATTAATTCAAAATTTTTCACTTTTGACTATCTCCCAAGCTTGAATTCAAATATCCCATATGTAGAAGTTCCAAGATGATTCAACTGAAAGAATGCATTAAAGGATGAAGTCAAAGTTGACACAACCCCTTAATATTTGCATACATGGTTGGCACTAATTCTGAACATTTCAAAGAAGAAGCAACCATTTTCTTATGATACCAAATATTTATGTCGATGTACATTGGAGGTATAAAGTCTTCAATCTATATATAACAAATCACATTCAAGTATTCAACAGAGTAAATTTGCATGGGTCATACATAAATAAACACATGCTCATCATAAGTCTTGTAGAGGGACAAACTTATGATCCTATAAACATTTACCAAACTGGGCTTGTTCAACTGCAAGTGTTGTTGAAGTTGTTACACTCTTCACCAGCTCTGTTACGGAAGGCATTTTCCAGACTATTGTGGAGGATGCACTTTTTTCCTCTTTTCCCTGTAACCATAGCAAGGCATCCATGATATTGTCTTTTCATGTTATGGAATTTGAGCTTCTAGTTCAGAAAGAGCACACAGAGTTAATTGTTTTACACTCAGAAGTAACTGGACCCATCTTGTCATTTTCTTAATTCTAGTTATATAGATGAATTTAAAAATAATCTATTTCTGAATCTTGCCCATTGCAGTATTGCTACCATATTTACTGAAGCATATTATTTGGTCCTCCTTCCTTATTTTTCTCTTCATGGATGTATTGTCCTTGTGTTCCCGGATCTATACTTGTTTTGCTAGAGCATTTTTTATTCCATTATTCTCTTAAAATTTATTCTTTATAATTTCCAAGGATTGGTGTCATTCGTAAACAAGCATATTTTAGGTTTTGCGAGGATTGCATTTTTGGCAGCGCAACTTATGTTTCATTTTTTATCATAATCTTGTAAATGAGTTTCTTTAAAGGTGTGTGTTCTTTTTAGGTCAATCACAGAATACAGAATGTTCAACTTATGACATTTGGACAACCTAGGGTTGGCAATGCTGTTTTTGCTTCATATTTCAGCAATCATTTGCCACATGCAGTTCGAGTTACCAATGAGCATGATATTGTGCCACATCTACCACCATATTACTCTTACTTTCCCAAGAAGACATACCATCACTTTCCAACAGAGGTAAATGATTCGAGTTAAAATTACCTTTTTTTGCCATAGATGTTGATGTAGACAATATTTGATATGCATTTCAATTGATGTTCAGTTATGAACTAAATTGGGACTGAGCCTTATCTGATCGGCTGCACTAATTATTAAACCAAGGATTTTATTTTGCACCCCATAATTGGATATCTGTCTTCTTGAATCCATCATGATAGTCTCTTCATTTTAGAGATAAGCATACAACTTCATACTTCCATTTACTGTTCATTTCATCTTCCAATTGTTACTACCTGGGTGCTTCTTCTACCAATTGCTTTGAAACTGACATTTCATCTTTGCAATATCTATACTTTTGTTGCCCCTTTTATGAATGTTTACAGGTATGGATCCATAACTTTGGATTAGATAGTCTTGTGTATATTACTGAGAAGATATGTGATGGTTCTGGTGAAGACCCTTCGTGTAGCAGGTCAGGTTTCAACAGTGCCACTATTTTGATTTAGTTTGACTTCTTCATTATGTTAAAAGCTCTTAATTATCTGTTATCGCCGTCAAAAGGTCTGTAAGTGGGAACAGTGTAGCAGATCACCTGGAGTACTTCGGGATTGATATGCAGGCAGATACTTGGGGCTCCTGTGGAATCGTGTTCAACGAAAATATGGTGCAGTATCAAGTAGATCTTGCAGGAAACATTGTCTTATCGAAGTGGCCAACTGTTTCATCAACTCCACAACAAATTATAGAAGCAGATAAAGGTCGGAGTGCTTCTTAGCTTCCCCAGCCACCACCACCAAAATAAGGAAAACAGAAGGAAGAATGGGGAACTACATGTACATAGTTCTTATGGTTTACAAGATTAGCCAGCATTGTCAAAGCTGTATCTATGCATTCATGAGGAATAAATCCTAGCATCATTAATATGTTTACCAATTCTAAGGTATTGCAAAAGAAACTCATTTCTTCACTTGGTTATATGAATTATATGTGCTGTAAAGTGCTAGTAATCAATCAAGCGTGCACAAATTGCCTAATATGCCTTTCTGAATTGCGTGTAGATTTAACATTTTATTGTTGAAATCAGGTGTTGGCCGTCTGTATTGACAAGACACGGTTGTAGTTAGTTACTTTTAATATTCTAGTTTTTATAATTTAAAAAAATTACATTGATATCCCTTAGTTATAAAAATGAAACATTTAAGTCTATTCATCTTAATATCGTCGATTTTATGAAGGGTAAAAAGATATTTTTAATATTTTAGTTGATAATAATGGATGATAACATCATCGAGTGTCACAAATGATTGTTGTTGATGAGGAGAGTAATGGAGAGAAGTGACAGTTGGTCTGCATTTGTGTCGACATCAATGTAATTGTCGAGTGATTCTTTCATCTCTTTGCATCTATGTCGATATTAAGGCAATTATTGAACGACGAAAGGGCTATCAATGTAAATGTTGATCGATGTCACTTTATATCTATATCGGTTGTCTTTTCATCGCTCAATATCTATATCAACGTTAATGCAAAGTGATCCTCATCTCTCATCGTTATTCTCTTCATCCACAACAATCACTCGTAGCCTCCAACGTCATTCGTCACCACCAATTGAAATAGTAAAATTATTTTTTTTATCTTTTGTCTAGATATTTCATTTTTGTAACTATATGGATACTAATATAACTTTTTAAGGTATAGAGACTATAATATTAAAGATATATGAGATAATATGTAATTAGCTCATATATATATATATATATATATATATATATATATATATATA